TGGATCAGGACCCAGTCTGTCAGGAAGGGATAATTTACACACACACACAGCCCCCAGCTCTGTGTCCCTGGAGCTGAGCTGACTAGCAAGCACCAGCACTTGCTTGGCAGTTTACACTCATCTGTATTCACATCTGCTGGACTTGAAGCCCAGCATTCCCATGGATGGTCAGCCAAAGGCATATCTCAGTGTGCTGCAGAACACTCCAGCTTGCTCAAATAGTTTCATTTATTTTCCAAGGTGTTTCTTTCCTGTAGCAATAAGGTTCCTCAGAGTACAGAGTTATGCTGCTAAGACTGTTTTAATTTTTTTCTTTACAGATGTTTTAGACTAGATCTGTCATCTTAATAAATACAACCCTTTGAAGTAATGAAGGGATAAGAGCTCCACTTTATATTAGGAAAATTAAATGTGGTAGCCGAAAAGGATTTCTAGTAATGACAAAAGTACATGCTGGTTCTTTGAGTGATTCTTGTTAGTTACTCAAGTCCTGAATAATACTGCAAAATACCACAGGCAATTAAATCAAAAGATCACTAAATATTCAATTGCAGCTTTTGTGGGTTTAGCATACTGTGTTCTCAGTAGCAGAAGAAGGCAGGTGTTTGACACTCAACATTCCTGCACTGAAAAAGAAATGCATTGGAATTTCTGCTTTGATTTGTTTTTGAAGTAAACATTTGTATAGAAGCTATTCATGAAATGACATCAGTTTTAATTTCTCTTTCCCTAGGTTAGTAAGGAAAACAGAAACAGCATTCTGCAAGACATCTTGGCAGCTGTGGAATCCTGCAGAAAATGAAGACCTTTTCTGTCCTGTAAACACTAAAGCTTTCATTTCAACAAAACATTACAACATTTAGTGGATGGTTGAGAGTCTGTCCTTCCTGGTTTTGCCCCCTTGAGGCTTCACTGGAGCCTTCAGGGTAAGCAGAGTAAAGCTGGTAATACTCTAAAATGGGATGGCAGGATTGTAATGTATTCAGTTCACTGAATTGAAAAAAAATTGAACAGATGTGTAGCTGACATCCAGTTTTAATCTGGGAGTTTGGAAGTTAGATGGTCAACTCTGATCCAAGTTACATGTGAGAACAACTAACTGTAAAATCTGTTTAAGATCTGAGTGTGTTCAGATCGCTTCAATATCTGCAACATAGCCCTGGTGCAACAGAACAGAACCCTGTCCAAATGTAGACGAGTCCTGCCTGGTTTATGTAGGAGTGTAGCTCTTGGTGACCCAGCTTGGGTGTATTCAGGTGTGTTTTAGCATGGGTGCTGACAAATCAGCAGGTAGAGGGAATCAGCAGATGTGCTCTCTCCTCCTTCCCCTAGGCACCCCTGTCTGCAGTTGCAGTATAAGGAGGGTTATCCAGAGTTTCAAGGAAACGTCCTGTAGTCATGAGTGACATTTACAGAATTCCATTTTGGGAGGAAAAATAGCCAAATCTATCCTTTCTTACATGGCCCAGATACTAATTGATAAGAGGTCTACATTTTGAAATAATTTTCAGTTTTCTGGTGGCAATCCTGTCCTACACCTCCTTACAAACTATATATAAAGATCTTCAAGTCCATGAAGTTAATGAAATCTTGTGTTTTTCATGCTGAGTTTAAGTCGTGGTTGACTTAATACTGCATTTGTCTATATTAGTTTTACAATCTGTTATGTTTATTGATGCTTATGTTTGTTTGGGCTTTTTTGCCTCATTCAGTTCTGTACATGCTTAATGGTGAAATAATAAGTGTTTGAGAGTATTAGACAATGTGTTTCCCTGTGAGGAGTGCAAATGTGTTCAGCAAAAGTGCTGCCAGTTAATCAGTTTTGCATGTTTGAAAACAGAATTCCCTCCTAGGTTCACACTATTCATTGTAAAATTTATGGTCATCTCTGGCTGAAGAAAGGTGGTAAAAATTCAGTTGTTTCTTAACTCTTTCTGTTCAGTTCAATAACTGTTAATTTGAGCAAACTATTTAAAGGCATCTTCAAGTATCATTTTATTGATTTATTTCTGTAAAACTGACACCCAGAGTTGTATAGGGCTGGATGGGGACAGGTATTTTTACAGATGCCCTGCAGACACCTCCTAGGAGCATAGAGGGAATGTCCTTTTTCTTTCCTCTATGCAGAACAAGGGTCTGGTACAAGCATTGCACCTCCACACGTGGTGGGAAGCGCATGCCATGTTAAATGATGCCATGGGCTCATTCCCTCACTGCCTTGTTAGGACTACCTGTCTGCCCAAATCCATTTAGATGGCAGTACTTACTGTCTTCATCATGTTTGGGGAAAAAGAGAACTCCTCTTAGGGTTTCCACTTGGCAATGTACAGCTTGTGGCTGCTGTTTGCAAAATAAGGTTGTGCTCTAAAGGCACACTAATCCCTTAATTACTTCAAGCATTCTACTCAGCCAAAACACCTTTTTAGATGTGGAGGACTTGGGACCAAAGTAAACTCTGTCAGGGCTGTGTGCCATAGGTTTTTGAACAGAAACCTCTCTGCACCTAAGTGTTGAATGCCCTCCTGTTTCAATGTTAAGTCTCTTAAGCTGTAAGATATGCTGCAAAAGAATAGTTCTTTCAATGATTAAAGAGTTATGCAAAATCTAGCACAGTTTTAGTGGGACTGCTGTTGAGTCTTAAATGAGGAGTGACCTTTAAAGCTAATTAAAAAATGGAGAGATTTGACATTTCTCTGGTAGAGGCCGAAGAGGGGAGTTCTGTTAGGAGTCAGTCTTCTGAATTCTGGTTCAGCCAGTATTGCTGAGAAATCACTTAAAGTGGTTTTTATTCCCCATAAATTAGATATATTGCCCTGCATGTAGTGCCATGATGCCTGCTGTAGTCCCATCCTTTAGTACAGTGGGAAGAAAAAAAACCCCAAACAATTACAACAAGAAGTTTGGGGAGCTTTTGATCAGTGCCTATAGTACTTTCAATCCATTGTCTCATGGTTTTGTACTGAGGCTAGATAGTCACTAGAAAATGCAGGTGGATTTTTCCTTCTCTGGAACTCTGAGTGAAATATCAGCCCTTTTAAAGTAATGCATATCTTTGCTACTGACATCAGTGTATCTTGTTTTCTGCTACCTATCTCAAGATTGGTGAGTGTCATTAATTTGTTGTCCTTTTTTTAAGCCTGTTTTCTCTCTGAGTTAGAGTGCTTTTCAAGAGAAATAAAGAGAGATTCTGTGATCTGTGTTCAGCAGAAGGATGCAGATGACCTTAGCAGTCATGCCTGGCCTTTAAATCTCACATGGTCCTGAAGATACAATTTGCCTATTTCAAATAAACATAGAGTGAGTGAAAAAGTTGTATTTCCAACTGCATGTACGTTTTTATGACAACCTGTGCTTACTTTAAAGGTAAAATTTTATTGTCTGGTCTTGAAACTAGTAAAATACTTTGAAGGCCTTGAGAGCACTGTAACAGCAAATGGAGCATTCACAATTCCCCTGATGGGCTGATTTTATTAATAGCACACATTTGGTGAAAAGCACCTCTGATGTACCAGCTAGATTCCAGATGACAACATTAGTGCACCTGCAGGTTTTAATTGGTGCAAAAAAGGGGTGAATGTGAGGTACCAATTACTGTCTCAAAGTCTAAGAATCAAGGACATTTTTGGCACAAGTCTTGTAATTCCAGCATAAAATTGCACACAGCATGGGATAAACAGGGCCTGCATTATTTATCATGCATTAGGCAATTTTTGACTTGTAAAACTGAGAGAGAGAGGTGAATCTTTTATACTGGACCTACTGCAAAGTTAATTACAAGTAATATGTCTGTGCTGCAGATTTAAGGATGTACAAGCACTAGTGAAACATGGTAATTAAGTACCAGCTCCTAATCCAGGGAGTAATCTAAATATGGCAATAATTGGGTATTTTAAAAAATGCATTGAAGAGAAGATGATTATCACATGCTGGAGAATCTCACTGGTATTTCTAATCTTCTATAATGAGCTGCACAAAATTCAGCTAATCTTTAACTTAAATTTTCTAGTAAGAGAAGAGCCATCAGTTGGTGGGCTGGAGGCAAATACAGGTGACATTTCTTGCCTTATTCTAATAAGCAGTTTCTTAAAAAAGCTGTGAATGACATCACAGTGTCCTAAGAACTTAATAGTGTCAGAATGCCATTCCTAGATATTATCTAGTCATCATGTCAAGAGAAAAAGATTCACACTGGTAAGTCCTTTTCACTGAGATTTGTTTTCAGTGAAGTGAGTACCAAGATTTGGGACTGAGGTGAGACTTTGCAGCAATAACTTCAGTTCCTTGCAGAGAAGTTGCATGCCACTACAAAATGGAGGGAACAGCCAGCACCTCTGGTTTTTAGTTTTGGATGAACAGAAATGTACTTTGCAGACTGTGTCCATCACAGGTTGCTATTTGCTTGCTGTGGTGGGAAACAGCTGAAGGTCAGGCTGGGGCTTTCCAGTGTTCCTGGTGGATGTGAGCAGTTCAGCACCCTGTGCTTGGCTTTAGTGAAAAGTTACTGAAAGTCTTTTTGCCAGATCTTCAGGCCATCATTCACCATTACGAGTGTAGCAACTGGCTCTTCCTATATGATGCAAACAAGAGTCTATTTGGGAAAGGAAATTTTAGGAAAACAAAATGTGAGGAAGGTGAGTATCCTGTGCTTAGTGGGAAGGCTGAAGTACAGTGTTTATGTTTGTTTTACCATATACTCATTATCCTTCCTCCTGTTAACCTGTTGTGTTGTTCATGTTCCTCTCTGGTTGCTGAGGCAGTGTGAATAAAATCACTCTTAGTGTTTCTTTCCAGCAGTGGTGTTATCTGAGGGTAAGCTGGGGGGAGGCAGAAAAAGCCTCCATCTCTTCATCCCTTCTGACTTGTCTATGAAAGAAGTGCATGTACAAATGGTCTTGTGAATTGAGCACTAGATTTCCTCGAAGGATGCATTCAGCTTGCTAACAAGATGGGAACATCACTATTTTCATGTTGTAGAAACAAAAACATTCTGGACTAGCTAAGTGGCCTCTGCAGCCCTGGAAAAATCAAGCTTAGCACCTGATGCAAAAAACTCTGATGGAACTCTTGGTAAATGGTCCTTACATGGTGGTAGCAGCATCTTTCCTGCATCACAGCTGTAGCAAGAGATCAGACATGTAGACAAACTGTTAAGCCTGAGCAACTTTAGGGCCAAGTTTTAACAATATTCAGATCACAGATGACATAAAAGCAATGAAAATTGTATTTGCTTTTCATTTAAAGGCCAAAACTTGCTCCAAAAATGGTGTATTCCCATCTTGCAACTGTGAGGCACCTTGTGTGTGAGGTTAAGTATTGAGCTGTTTTTCAGGAGTAAAGGTGTCACTCAAAGCCTTCATGTATATGTGCCTTTTGGTGTTATGCAGAGCTGTTTGGAGCAGCTTGTTCAAATTAGGCTTTGTGTAAAGGTTAGGTTGCTGTTTATTAGCTTGGTGTCCATCAGAGCCCTTAAATGCACTTTCTGTCCCAAGCAGAGTTCACTGGGTGTATCTCTACCTTAAACCCTTGTTTAAGATGTGTTTAATCAATACAACCTCATGCCTAGTTGCAGGTTTCATTTCTAGCCATTATGTCGGTCTATTCTGTAGGACTGTCTCATATTTAAAACTGATGCACATAGCAGTAGTCTTATTACTATAAAAGCAGACTGTCTCCAAAAATATGGAGAAAAGTAACATGGGAGAGTTTGTGCTCATTTTGATTCTTTTTTCCTATGTTACGCTTGCTTGTTAGTGGTCACTCTTGGGTTTTTTCAACCTGCTAGCTACAATAGCAACTTTAGGGCAAAATAAAAACTATGGAAGACATGGCTACAAAAAAGGAACTGATTTTTGAATCTTACCTTGACTCCTGTTTTGCCATGCTTGCTTGCTGACTCCATAAACGTGTTAGAACCTGCCCTTTCTGGCAGCCGCCCTGTGCAGGAGTTGTCTGCACTTCATGGCATAACTGCTGTCCCCAGGGAGTTGTGCTCCAGGGGACAGTGGGAAGTCAGGAACTATGAGGCAGCTGCATTAGTTTAGGATGCAGTACCAGAGGCTGTGGGGATGGTGGAGCCTTGCAGAAGATGTGGTGCTGGGGGAAGGTGCTGTCACTGGGTCTCGATCCATGCTAAGCAAATACAGTGGTTGCTGCTGAAGGAATTTGTGCAGTCATTCCCCAATCTGGTTTATTACACGTGAGTTGGATACACAGAATAATTTAGGTTGATTGGGACTACTAGAATGACTTATTTTTGATGGAAATTGATTCAAACTTAAAGATGTGAAAATTGGAGGCCTAAGTGATGCTAGGTGAATATGGGAAAGTTCTTGGTGCTTTCCAGAGCCACCTGTTTGCCCTGCTTCCAAGCAGGAAGACAAAGCAGTGAAGTTTTATCCTGTGGACTGCCATGCAAAAGCCCCCAAAGCAGAACTGGGACTGGTGGCTGTTAGTAGGAGTCTACCTCTATAACCTCCATCCTTCATTTGTAATGAAGCACTTCATGAACAGTGTGTGGGACAAGAGTCATCAGCAGCCACAATTGGTCAGAAGGGAGCAGCTGAATTCAATTTCCTCTTCCACATCTCACCTGGATGTTAGTGGAGACATTAGTAGGGCCTGAACTGCACTGATGACCATGTGTCTAGAGGGCTGTATATGAATACTCTGCTTTAGTGTTTGTGACATGAGCAGAATTTTCCTAGATTGTGCTAAGCTTTATTAATCAACTCATCAAGATCTGAAGTGAAGTAAAAAAGAATGGGTTTCTTAATTTTGTAAAGCAGAAAGCAAGTGAGAACAATTGCAAACAGAAGACCCAGAAACAGCTGCCGCACAAAACATACTTGGATCATTTTATTTTCACTCAGTCTTACTTAGTTCTACTGCTCAGATCTGAAGTGTGGCACAGTAGGAAGCTCAGAATGCAACTGAGTATTGCCTAACAGTAATGAGACTTAGCTACAGCATCTCTTGTTAAATCTTGTTAATTGGGACAAGACAGCCTGGCTGCACATCATTGTGTTGAGATTTAGAAACACTCTATGGTAGTTACAGTAAAGAGGAACAGCAAGACACTGATAGCTGCAATTTTTTTTAATTGAAAAAAACACACACGTGTTTGTTTAGACTCTGTAGTAGAGGAAGGATTTGTTGTAGCCTTTTGGGTTTCAAAGTAGTCATGCATTCCTGTAAATTGGTGTTTCTCAAACCATGTGAAGGCATGGCCTCCCTTTTTGTATCATCTGTCTTTATTGGCAGCAGCTCAGTTTTCTCTGGGGGAGGGAAATCAGAAGGCTTTGTAATTACTGGCTACAAGTGTTTATGGACAGTGAGCTGTGTCCAGCAATTAAGAGTATTTAGCTGTTCCCTTCCCAACACAAACACTTCCAGACAGTAATTACAGCCTGCTTTGCACTTTCCTGTCCTTGAGGAGGATTCCCCATGGCCCTTTTGCGACTCCTAAGGGTACTGTTGCTTAGAATTTGAGAAACACTGCTGTAAACCAAACAGGAGCACGAGATAATACCTAATTTATGCAAAGCTGCTTTGCAAATAAGGTGCACCATATGTTCTGAAGACTTTCCATGCACTGGATACTTTCTCTTCTTACACTTTTGTTAATTGGTGTAGCGTGGCTTGTTCACACAGTATTTCAGTATGGCTGCATGCAGTATATCAGTCTGAGATGCTGTGTTGCTATTCAGCATTAGCACCTGCATAACATCAAAGAAAAATGAGACTTGCTGTTGGAAAAAAAAATCAGATTTAGCTCTAATGTTACAGGACACTGTACTGTCCTTTTATGTATTCATTGCTTCTGCTCTTAGTTGCCTCTTGCGATATGTTATATACCAAATTTTCAATTAGTTTGCATGCAATCAGCTGTTTAGTTATGGCAGGAAAGAGATGTCTTTTGTGTGCTTTTCACTGAGTTGTATTATTTCCTACTGTATTCGTTTGTGATTCTAACCATTCCAGGGGAAGGAACGTTAAACAGGTTGTATTCATTGTTCTAGGATTTACAAGAACCTGAGATGAAGTGGCACTGTGTGTTTTTTAGGATATTTTCCAACCTTACCCATGCCAAGGCCATTAGCGGAAGAACATCTGCCCTGTAATATTCTTGTGTGGAAGTTAGAAAAATAAACATTTGAAGGTTGCTATTACATTGGAAAGAACCTAAACCCATGTGCAGTTCCTGACCTAACTGTATTTAATGCTAAGAAGCACGTGGCCCCTGTGCCAGGAAGGCTCCTCACTGCTCCTCAGACAGGCTCTGCTGGGAAGCCGTGTCTTCCAGGGCCATGTCTTCTTGGCTGGCCCTCCTGCACTCCACGTTCCGACTCAGGAACAGCGCATGGGCCGGACCCGCCTCCCGCTGAGGTCTTGGCTCTGTGGTATCTGCTGCTTCACAGGTCTCAGTGGCTTGCTGGAAAGTAAGAAAGAAAAAGTCAACTAGTTTAGGAAATTTCTAAGTAACACTTCAGCTATTTTTTGAAGTGATGGGTGAAAAAAGTTTAAAAATTGACGTAGGGATGTCATTCTGTGAAACTCCATGGGATTCTTAACATGCATTATTCACAAGGGAGTTCTGAAGAGGTACTTGTCACACTTTGTGTAAAGCATAAATTTGGAAGGAAAAGCAGACCAGGAGCTGGAGGTTTAGTACCACAGATGTACATGTATAGAGAACTGTAAAAGAATTTGGATTGAAAAGGACTTCTGGAGGTCATCCAGTCCAAACTGCTGCTTCAAGCAGGGCTGACTTCTAAGTTGTTAAATCGGGTTGCTCTGGAGCTTGCTTTATTCACTGAATTTTAAATCCAACTTACAAAGAAACCTTTTCATCAAAACTGGAATGCAATTATCAGTCTGCAAACGTTAAGCACAGTGCTGCCCCACTGTAAGGAGTCCATTAGGATAAAAGCATTCCAGAACTTTGCTGTGTTAACGTCGAAATGAAACGCTTCCTCTTTACTGCTTTCAATCAAATGGGCACCTGGACTCCGAGCACTTTGGCCAGGATTCACCTCATCTAAATTTCACCATGTGGTCTTGCTGTGTCATTTAGGCTACCAATGGTTGGCAGAGAGATACAAGTCTCCCAGGGGAGAATTTCCTCCTTATAGCTCCAAGGATGAAGGGGATGGAGGCCTCTTCACTGAAAACAGAAGCCTCAACAACAACCTACTGAGACATCAGGCCCAAATTTTAGATAGCCTAAAGTTTGACAAGGTGAATCCTACCATTAGTACTCAGTATCACAGACTGGCTGAGTTCTTGCAAATTAGGCCATAAACTCCTGAGAGTTGGAATTGTGCCGTCTCATTAGATATATTCAGCTGTATGTGTAGAAGTATTAGTACTTGTTAATGTAAAAATGCAGGATTGGACCCAGGTGAGTAACATTCAGCTGACTCCTGCTGAAGTTCATGTGAAACTCTAGGGAGCTGTACCACACATGGTATTTTTGTGAGCAAAATCCACTCAGGCCAAGGGGCTTTTCACACTTGAGGTTTGGAGAGCTCTTTGGAAACTAGGGAAGTTATACACAGTTCAGGAGCATGGTAACAGAAAAGTGCTTGGGACTTACATCTGCAGACACCTCCTGTCACCAGTTTGGTTTCCATTTCGATAGGCCAAATGCAAAAGTTTGCCTAATTATGTTGTCTAATTGCAGTCACCCTTTATTTCTAGTCCATCTTCTCATGTTTCTGCCTTCTGGTGCTGAGGTCAATTTTCAAAATCCAGGGCAGCAATGGATAGCAACCAAAGTTGAATAAATACACTTAAATAAACAATAAAACAGTAACTACACCATGAATTGAATTTTTCATGGAAGAAAGGAATAAAGCTGTGAGTATACTGGGAAGAGGGCTAGAAGTTTTTTGTGTGTAGTGTTTGGCTCTTCGAAAATGCTTAATCACAGGGCATACTGGTTTCCTTTGGTAAATATTTCATACAGGATTCCTTTGACTAACTTTCAGCAACAAGGTTTCAGGTCTTAGATTGAATTTCTGGTCAGATGGAGGGACAGAACAAGTGCACTATTCAGGGGAAACCATTCCTTTTCCAACAGATAAAATAATTTTAAGTCCTGCTGATGCCTCAAGTTTTAGCTTTCCTGTTTTTGAGATTCTGTGCTGCCTACAAGTGTAGCTCTGAGCTTCATATTAAGTGCTAGTAAGTTCTCTTCACAGGGTAGGCAGACAAAACAATCCTTTTCCAGCTTGAGACCAAGGACAACTCTTACAAGCCTCAGGCCCAAAAAGTGGGGAACTGAAGAGAGCAGACAGGGAGGATGGGGCTTCATAACCTGAGGCTGTAATTGGACAATTACCCCAATACTCAAATGGACCAAAAACTTCTAAAAGTGTGAAACTTGTGACCAGTCATCCATTTTGGGTCCATTTGGTGTAGCCCTGGCCAGGCTCTTGTACTGGCCAAGGTGTATCCTTTAAGGCCTTTTAATAAATACCTACTTTATTGTTTTAGCTCTGTGTAGTCTCTCTTCTAGGTCAGCCTCTCAAGGCATCACTGTATAACACTTAAAGCAGGCAAGAAGGAGCTATTTAGTCTGCTGTGATGGTACTCATCACCTGGGCTGCAGAAACTGGAGATGTAAGTCCCTGTTTTGAGTGAAAGGAAAAGCAACTTTGCCCCAGTTTGCAATTTCAGGTGTACATGTAACAGCCCCCCCATCAGTTACTCACAAACAATCTCACAGACACACTAATACTATACAGTCTCATTGTGATGCAGCAAAATCCCCCAGAAATACCAAAATCCCAGCACTGGTTTGAAAACAACTGTTCTCTGACCACTGAGAAGGAAGAAAGAGGACAGTTAAGAAGCAGACAGGTGAGCAGAGCAGGACTCCCACTCAGTAGTGCTGTTTCAGCTTCAGCCTTACCCGCGCTGCCTGGCTCGCTGCTCTGGCAGACGGCCCCATGGCAATGTTCATGCTGCTGGAGGACTGCGTGTCGCTCGTGTTGCCTCCGTCCGCAGCCGAGAGCCCAGAAATCACCAAAGCACTCGAAAAACTTCTCTTGCCAAACAGCAGGCTCAGAGTTGAGCTGGTGGAGGAGGCCAGGCTGGACCTGAGCATTGCTGCAGCTCGGTCCTGCACAGTCAGCTGGCCAGCAACAGGAACAGCAGGGGACTGAGAAAACACAGATGTTGCAGAGTTGTGGAATGATAGCTGACTACTAGAAAGCCTTTGGGCAATTTCATGGGCAGATGTAGACGTCTGGATGAAAGGCTGCCGGCTTTCTGCAATTGGTCCAGAGTGACTTGAAGCAGGGGGCCTTTGGTTTAAAGCAGTGTGTGCCTGGACAGACTGACTCCTGGGTTTTCTCCTGCCTTCAAAAGAAAGATTAATATATTTAAGTAAGTGGCATTCCGATGAACTCCATGCCATTGACAGTGTCCCATGTGTACATATTACTGTTGGCATATTACCACTGGTTTTATTAGCATAAGAGCTCCAAGAACAGCAAAAGTAACAAACGCCTATACCTATGAATCTGTCTGTGTTTTCCACTACAGGTGTTCTAAGTTTTGGTCAAAATAGCTCTAGAGGTTGTGTACTGAGTCAAAAGACAGGGAAATGAGAAGAGACCCCAAGCAAAGCACTCTAATCACAGGCTCACAGCTGTTCTGCTATGTACAGTTTAATCAGCCCAGTGAATGACTGAGCATAGTGTTGTTGTAACTCTGCTCCCCTCTGACAACCACGCTAATGGAATGTTGAATATCCACCTTATATTGGCTTGGTGTAATTAAATGCAACAATAAAACAAAAATCCTCTATGTTAAAACAATGGCACATTTAAAAGAATTATTCCTGCATATGGGGAGAGAGAATGTGAAAATTCAGCCAAGTGGAAGAATACAGCATTCAAGCCACAAGACAGTTTTTAAGACTAACAGTAAACTCTGAGTTTCAAAAGAGACATTTACAGTACACCACACACATAAAAAGATGTGAATGCTCTTAGGTAGGATACACTATTAAAGGTCTGAATGCGACCCACATAAGACTCTTGTCCCTTTCTGGGAAGCATCTCTATGCAGCCACCACTGGATACAGGAAGTAGATTAGATAAGCTATTCTGACATGCCTAGACAAATCCTTCCTGTACAAATACATCCCCATATTTAACATTTATACCAACACCTTCTGTCATTCAAGCAAAAAATTTCTGTATTTCTTATGCTTGTCTATTTGAATAGCCATAGAATGAAAAATCAAATATAAAATCTGGTGGCCAGTGAACCCACCAGAGGCCAGCTTGTACTCCTCAGGCATTCTGCCATGGGTTGGTGCGTGCCACAGGCCCCAGCAGAGTTCACTGTTTCTGTAGACAGGCTCTAACCCAGGCACACACAGCAAACACCCAGTCACAAAAGTGCCTGCTTGTTTTTTTTTTGCTCTCCAGGAAACTCCAAACATTAACACAAGCTGGCATTTTGGTTTCCTAGCTGTAGCTGTAGGGTGGGGAGTTGATGCCAGGAAATCTGTTGAGAGCCATCAACACAGAAACAAGTTTTTCTGGCAGGCATTCCCAGGCTGTGGGTAATTTTTTTTTTCTTTTTGCTTTGGTTTTCCCCAATACCTGAAGTCCTCCAAATACTGAAATTTTGCTGGCATAAAGGAATATAAATCTCACACTATCGTCTAAAAACATGACTGCTGAATTCATGCAGCTTCCAGCAATGCAGAATTTCATATCCAAGCCATTTACATCATATGGCTGAAACATGATGTTTTACATCCACAGACCTGCTTTTCAGAGGCTGGCATCATTATCCCCATTTTTCAAATGCTGAAGCAAAGAGAGTTTAGGTAACTTGGCACAGAGTCAGTTGAGCAGAGCTGGGCTACAACCTAACTGGAGCTCACTAAAACCCAGTTGGTTTGGCAAGTGTTGGACACTTTCACACCTCATTTACAATGTATCTTTAGCTGTACTTTTATATTCTAAACAATAAAAAAAAATTTCCTAAGTAATAAGAGCCCCAATATCTCTGCTGGAGAATGATGGGACAGAAATGGCTCGCGGAAGCTCCTGGACAACACTCTCAGGCACAGGATGTGATTCTTAGGGTGGTCCTTGCAGAGCCAGGAGTCAGGCTTCGATGGTCCTTGTAGGACAGCCACAGAATATCCCCTCCACCTCAGGATATTCTGTGATTCCAGGCCCCTGCACTGCTCTGCCAGTGCTCCCTGTCCTTCACGTGCAGTGAGGGGCACCAGCCTGGCCGCCGTGTCCGCGGCTGCGCGCGCGTTTGGCCTCCGCAGGGATTCAGGCTCTTCAAACCCTGGGGTTTGCTCAAGTGCTTTGGTTTCTACACCTGATGGTTATTTCAAGAGGTTGCCTTTCTTAAATAAAAAGAAAGGACTGGATTTAAGAACAGAGGGGCTGTGGTGTGTTACTGTGCACCGTGGCTAACGTGGCCAAACATCTGTGATATAAATTGGGAAGCTGACCCCTGTCCAAAAGTATTCTATATTCATCCCAAATGCAGTGGTTGGAGCATTGGGCAGGAGACCACCCACATCTACACCTAAAAAACTCTGTCCCTGAAAACACTCAGAAAAACAAAGGCTGGTCTATTAACTGCATCATGAAATAAGGAAACTTTGGGGGAGAACCCCACATGTTTCCAGTGCTCCTGATTTTGGCTGAACTTTTATATAGGGCTTTGCATTTTGCAGTTTTGCAGACTCAATGATACCAGGCTGCAAAACACAGTACGAAATATAAAGAAGTTAAATGCACTTGATGCACAGATTATGAATTTAGAAGGCATTGCTATGATTATCTAGTCTGCTGTCCTATATAGCCTATATGGGCCATAGGATTTCCCAGAATTATTCCTGTGTGGTTTTATTAATTGTTACTGTCATTTTTAAAAATGCATCCTGCATCTCCAGTCATGGAGAATCCACATTAACCCTTAGTCTCTTGTTTCACTATTTATTCACTCTCTTAATATTAAAAATTTGTTCTTGATTTTAAATCTGAATTTGTTTAGTTTTGTTACATCCAAGTCTGCTGAGACCAATGGTCTTTGGTCACCTTTTGTTGCCCAGGTAAACACTTACAGACTACAATCAAGGCATCTCCTACAATACCAATTGCTGGAAAGCATTTTATCTTTCAATACAGGATGTAATTCCCAGAATTTTGGTCATATTTTGGTTCTTCTTTGAAGTGCTTCCAAACTAAAAATGTCCTTAAATTAGGGCACTGGGACTGTGCGTGGCAGGACAACAATATTATCATTTTTAACAGGCATAGATAACTTCTTTTCCAGTGCTGTGGTATTGCCTTGATGTCCTGATATTTACTGAAGACCGAACAGAGCTTGTTTTTAACCAGGTCTCTTAAAATCCTTCTTGAATGAGTCATTTGACTTTGCTCAATTAAGCGTATACCTTTGATAGCCACTCTTTCATGTTCTTTGTAGCTGTTAGGAGGGAAGGAACTGTTTCATGATCAGATCATAGAAATATATTATCTTTGTTTTTTCCCCAGATAAATCAGACATTCATTTTCTCATTTCTACATACTGCATATTGGCAACTCTGCCTTTCTATACAGTGACAGATCAAGACCACTGCTAGGATTTCTGTTGCTTCTAAATACTCCTTAAAAATAAACAGCCACAAGCTCACTTTCCTCTTTTTGTCCCTAATGGTCCTAGGCAAAAAATTCTTCTTGTTTCATTCTCTACAGTATCTGAGGAGTGAATATGGATTTCCATTTGCTACCATTTCCTTGGATTTGTTGTGCATGTCTTAACAAAAGCCAGGTTGCTTTTCTTATCTAAGAGTGACTTTGTCTCTTGATTATGTTTTTCTGGGCATCCAATCAATATGTTCTTTTAAACAACTCACAATTAACTTACTTTATTGTATGGTATGCTCAGGATCATTATATCACAATTAAGCTCGCTACTCTGATTACTGTTGTGTCAAGTTATGAGTATGCACATGGGGATTCCTCTAACACAAGACACAATTAAAAGCTGCAGTTATTTTATTCTTGCAATGTGATTTATATTCAGGGCAAAATTTATTCCAGTCCTGCCCATTATCTTTAATGATAGGTCAAAAGATCTAACAGGAAACAAACAAGTGTCAAACCCCTCAAGTTCTCTGCTTTAATTTATACAATAATGCTACAAACTTGTTGAAATGTAGAGATGATTTGATTTACATTACAAGTCCTGATCCCACAGTGGTAGATCTCACAGTCACCCACTGGCAAACTTAGAATCTTAGAATGGTTTGGGTTGGAAGGGACCTTAGAGCTTGTCTCATTCCAACCTCCCTGCTGTGGACAAGGACACCTGTTACTAATTAGGTTGCTCAAAGCCCCATCTAACCAGCCTTGCATACTTGCAGGAATGGGGCATCCACAATTTCTCTGGGCAACATGATCCAGTGCCTCACTGCCCTCACAGTACAGATTTTTTTCCTAAAAACACCTAAACCTCTTTCAGTTTGAAGCCATTCCCCCTTGTTCACTCCATGTTCTTGTAAAAAGTCACTTCCCATCTTGTGAACTCCCTGCAGGTACTGGAAAGTCACAATTAGGTCACCCCAAGGTGGGGTGTACAAACCCAATTATCTTTGCCTTTCCTCACACATAATCATCTTAGTGTCCCTTCCCTGGACCTGCTCCAATGAGTTTATGTCCTTCCTGTGCTGGGCACCCCAGAGCTGGATGCAGGGTTCCAGGTGGGCTCTCACCAGAGCAGAGGGGCAGAATCCCCTCCCTGGCCCTGCTGCCCACGCTGCTTTGGATGCAGCCCAGGACACATTTGGTTTCATGGCTGGGTCATGTCGAGCCTCTCACCCACCACCACCCCCAGGTTCTTCTCACAGAATTGCTCTCCATCTTTTCATCCCCAGCCTGTGTTGATACCGGGGATTCCCCTGGCCCAAGTTTAACAGCACCTTGCACTGTTAAACTGCATGAGATTCCCCTGGGCCCACTTCTTGAGCTGGTGCAGGTCCCTGTGAATGGCATCGCATCCTTCAGCTGTGTCAACTGCACCACTCAGCTCAGTGTCATCTGCAAATCTGATGAGGATGCACTGGATCCCTTTGTCTATGTCATTAATGAAGATATTAAATAACAGTGGTCCCAGTATGGACCCCCGAGGGACACCACTTGTCACTGATGTCCATCAGGACCATTGACCACTACCTTCTGTGACTGTCCAAAAAACTGCTTATCCTTATCACTTAACATACATTTCCAATGTAAAGGCCCACCTTGCGAATATGTCTGAAGCACTTCTGAATCCATAATTTGAGAAGGGCTCAGCTGTTAGTTGACAGAATGATTGGCAACATTTAATTTTCTCTTGGTAACTGCTATATAGACATAAGAAGCTCTTTTCCATTTGTTTGCTCTCCACATGCACTGATGAGCAGCCAAACCAATTCCTCAAATAAATTGCCATGGTCCTTCCAAGCTAATTAAGATTGTTGCATGCTTTCTTTCTGCTGTTCCCAGCCAATAATAAGCAGAGGGTCACCGTGGTACAGGCTCCCTGCATGGTGTGTGTACACTCCCTCTCATCTGCATTTTTCATTCTGGCATTCTTAGTGGCACCTGCTAGGCCAAAAATTACCCATAATGGACTTTGACAGTGGAACCTTTGGTGAATCACTTTTGTGTTACACTCTCCCAGTAAATACCTGGAACAATATCAGGAAGCCATCTCCTACATGTTCTTGGTCATCAGAAGAGACAAAATGCACTCTCTAAAATTACTTTTCCACTGGATTTGAGGACTCCTCAAAGGCATTTGCCCATGTGACCCCCCCCAGGAGAAGACTCCAGAGAAAGGCAAGTAAATTGTGCACATACCTGCCCGCTGGTGGACCTCTTGAGATGAAGTTTGCAGCTGAGGGGTTCCATCCCTGGTGGGCTGTGAGCTACTGCTCTGGCTTGAATTCCCTGTGGAATTGTTGCTAGATGAAGACCCCCCTGCACTATCCACCTCTTCAACATTGCCTCTCTCGTGGTGAGCTGCTGCATGGCAGTCCTTCCGCATTCTGTTTGCAGGAACACACACAGGGTCAGCCTCTTGTTGCACATGAAAATTTGTGTCACCACTGTTAGGTGCCCTCAAAGACTGTTCTCTCTCACACCACTGCAGGTCTTCTGACATTTTATGAGATGGCAAAGACAAGCCTTCTTGGAACAAAATTGTATATGACACAAGCCAATTGTCCGTGTTTATTGGCTTTGGAATCCTGAAATACCGTAGGGATCTTTATCTAATGTTACAGTGGTCTCCCAAGACCTCCTCTTGGTTACCTCCTTCTGCATGAGGTAACCAAGTAGCAAAGCAGAATGTGCTGAAGAGAGCTCAGAGGGATGGGCTGCGTGGTGAGAAAATAGCATGTTAAGCCATTAGATAAAATATTGACATTTTAACACAGGTCTTGCTATGCAAGCTGGCTCCCATCATGTCTCCATGGTGCCCTGCTTTTCCTCAGCTACAGTAGCTACAGTGGCAACAGGGCAGGGAATGAGGCAAGGGAGCTGTTGTTGTGTGAAGAGTAGGAATGGGAGATGCAGTGTCAGGTACTGATCATGCACAGCCAGGGGAAGTCAGGCAGTTTTGGTGAATAGCAAGGACATTTTTAGGTGTGCTTTGGTCAAGAACAATAACTTAGGGGTGGATATCTAACTGCCAAAGCTTCGGAGCATAACTCACCAAAATCCACCAGCACGTTCACTCATGGTCAGAGTTACAGAAAAGATACCCTTATTTAGATGGCATAAACAGTAAAATTCCATGGAATGAGGTAAGTGTCTGTAGTGCAGTGTGATTTGAATTACTCTTGTTGAACACGTAGAAAGCTTTGTCATGAATGAGTTAATGGATTTTCTTTCTGTTCTATTTGCAGCACTGTTTTGTTATATTCTGAGTTACTTCCAATTAATTTTTTTACTCATAGATAACAATACAGAATTACTCTCCTTTAACAGAAAATACAATGAAACCGAGACGGCAGGGTCTCTTATCAGCATAGCCAAAATTTAACACCTACCTTAACCACTTGGATTTGAACCACTTTTTAATGTTGTCCAAACTGACAGGTCCCCCCCAGATGTTCCTCAGTTGGCTGTGTGTCCCAAGGTACGAGGTGGTTAAGGGGGAAACGTACATTGGATATCCCAGTGGCTGATCACATGAAGAATTAATTAAGTTCCGCAACACCTGTTTATTGTTCTGGATGCTTCCTCTCTCCGGGTTACGATTGCGTAAGAAAATCAGTTCCTGCTGCTGGCCAGCCCAAAGCCCTCTGACACACTCCTTGTTGACCTGCAGGTGGGTTAAAACATGCAGATCATGCAAAAACGCTTGCTGCTCAAATGCAGAACTACAGGATTTAAGTAGAACAGCAGTGGCTGAGTGTGCAAACACATCATGATGTCTTTGCACCAACAGCTTTTTATTAACTTCTGCAGCTACTCCCTGGTAAAGCCTGGAATGTTATTTCAGAGACACAAACATGGGTGGCAAAATGGAAGTCAACTGAAGAGAATTCTTTTGGCCTCCAGTCCCTACTTTAAAAACTACAATTAACTTCTCCTTTCAGCCAAATTCCTCAGTAATAGTGCTAGTTACCACAGCCCTAAATTACGGCAATATTTGAAAGATGGCGCATGTACCTTGATCACCTTGAAGCTCAGGTAGCTTTTGTGGAGCATGATAACTTTATATTCATCTGCTCCTTCATCTACCACGTGTCTGAGAGTCAGCAGCTCCTCCCGGTTGGACAGGACTGCGCTGCGCCAGGCCGGGTCCCCTTCGTGACAAATCACAACCTTTTCTTCAAAGGATTGGATGGCTTCATACAAAACTGCTGGGTCCTCATACTCATCTGGGCACGTGAACTGGTCCTGCTCGTACAGGAAGAAGTATTGAACAGGTCAGGTACATTCGTGAATACACAGAAACTATTGACAGCAAACAAAATACTGGCTTCCAAACAGTTGCCAGCTGGCCCCCTCCAAGTGACTTGACAATTGCTAAAGAGTGTCTTTTGGGAGCTTCATTTACAGTGATAGAGAAAGGTACAATTTCAGTTTTATTGTAACCTGTTCTGATCCCATGACTACACTGGACAAAGGCACTTGGAGAATACCAGCTTATCCTTTTTTTTTTTTTTTAATGGAGTGTGAAACTGGGAGGCAGAGCTTTTGGGTAAGCTGGAGAGAGATATCACCTATGATAGTCCACAGTTCTTGTGGAAAATCTTATTTTTATTCACAAAACAACACCAACAATAGCACAGACTGGGAATCCATCAGCAAATACCACAATACTGAAGTTTCATCCAGCAGCACCACGGCCAGCGATAACATCATAAAGTTATTGTGTCAAAGAAGCAGATACAAATTCACAGCAGTTCAGTAAGTAACATCCAGAACAATTATAAATATCACTAATGATAAAAGCATATGATACTAAATCATAATGTGCCAGAACAGGAATAAAATCAACTCCAAGCTATACAGAGCCTGATCTGAAATTAGCAGTGAAATCAGCATAATCAATGGATTTCCCTTCAATCTAGAAACCATCTTTATAGTATCCACACAAGTAAAATATGACATTTTCTGCTTTCTTTTGATGAAAAATGCAGGGTCAAGCTCTGCAAAGTGGTTTCAAATGGGCAGCTAGGGAGGCTCAGAAAAGAACATCAAGTGAATGCAAAATAAATAAATGCCAAACTCTTCCATCTTGGTGAAAGACATTTCTTAGAATAAGGTGGCAAGTACTCCATTTCGCCTTTTTTGTTTTCTCCTTTTAGACAGTTGCTAAGGTATCCCGCATTTTCCTTAGAAAACAGACACAATAGTAAATGTTAAAAATAAATCCATAAATAAATACCCTACCTGGTGCAGCTTCAGAGACATTCGGATTGCTGGGGCAACAACCTTGTGTAGCAGATCCATGTCAGCAAAGACCCACTCATCTTTGGCTGCTATCCGGAAGTCTCCTTTAAACAGTGCATGGAGCCCATAAAGAAAAGAGTCCAGGCTGTAAGAGAAAGGCAGCAGTCACCCCCAGAAGCCATTCCCATCTCTCCAAGGCAGATCCTACAGTCACCAGGCTGGTGACCCTCTGGCCCAGGGTGAGTGCCTGCCCTAGATGTAAAGCAGGGGGCACATCACATTTCTCTGACACAAAACCATTCCTTGGGGGAGGCAGTTTTCCTTCTGTGTGCTCTGTAAATGACTGGCCATGAGATGAATGGAATGAAGGATGTCCTCAGGATGGGTGACTGAGTCACAGAGTGCCTCAGGGCGCTGCTTCTCTGCAGCTGTGCCAAAGGGACCAGGTCAGAGTGCCAGCTGCACTCCCTGTGCAGCCAGCAGAAGCTGTTTCCTTATTTGAAAGTTTATTGATCAGTCCTGTTAGCACTTCTCCTTGTAAGTGAAAAATAATAATAGAAAAAAATACTTTCAGGCAATTTAAGACCTTTCTCACGACATTCAAACCTAAATGTGAACATTAAAGCAGATGTACTGAGAATACTAAATTTCAGAACTGTTCAGCAAACCAGGTGAGAGCAGGAATCACCAACAGGTGCTTCCTACTCAAACAATGAGCCCTAAAGGAAACACACAATGGGTTTCTTTTTTGTAATGTAGGAAACCAGATGTAGGCAGTTCTGGCTGGCCTTGCATGATGGCTCACCTGGAAATGAGATACAAGCGCAAGGTAAAAGCTACAAAAATAAGGTAGTTGTTAGAAGATGGTTGTGCAAGGGCTTTGTGAAGGGAAACCATCAGCCTTCAGCTCTGATCTGCACCCTGAATTACAGGACTCCCACACCACTGTCACTTGTATAATGCTTGTAGGTTACTGCTGTGCCAATGTTGCTCTGAAGAAGTGATCTCAAAATTGAGGAGAACAGAACCATCTATTAAAAACAGGCATATCTTGCAAACCCACAGGACATGGTTTCATCTACCTGCTAAGATTTCACTCACTTTTACAACAGTTGATCTTTTAGATTGTAAAGACTCTGGGGAGAAGCCATATTAAGATGTTAGTAGTTTTCATTACTGCTCAGCCTTTCTCTAGAGGACATATAATCTTTCCACATAATTGAGCTTTCTTAATTATTTTATAAAAAATAAAAAAAATCTTTTCAATATATTCTCTTCTCAGAGAGAGGAAGAAGAGACTGGGAGAAGGCCTGGCTAGCTTCATCTGAAAGGCATTCTAATTTTGCTCTTGGTGGGTAGCATGTCTTAGAAATTAAAGTGGAAATACATATGTTGTTACCAGAGAAATAACTGGATACTGATTTTCTCCATGAAAGCATCATGTAATACAAATCAACTAAGCAATGGGACCAAAACTAGCCAGAAAGGCAGGGTTGCTGTCACTGCTGGGAACATAAGGAGTATAGAGAAACTTTTATGAATTCTTAACTGATTTGCATTTATTAGCACTAAGTTATGTATTAAAATTATGTATTATGTATTATGTCTGTGTGAGACAGGCATACTCAGATCTTCAAAACATTCAGGCATTGATTTCAGTGGGAGTTATTATGTGTCCTTAAGGACTGAGTCCTGGTCCCCACTGACCTTCAATCCATCATCCCCACAGTTTCAGAGAATGATAATATACTCGAACCCTGCTTAATAGTTGGGAAAGCCCTAGGATGAGCCAGCTGGGAGGGTGGGGGGAGAATGGTGAGTGCAGCCAGCATGGTGAAATGTGACTTTTGCCCCCTTTGAAAAGGTTACACATCAGGAAGGCTCCTTTCACTTGCCCACCCACCAGAAAACACCAGCATACACAGCTGAATCCTTGCCTGGAAAAAAAAACCCTTCTGTAGCTAAATATTCTTCTCAGGATGAAATTTTAAAAGTTACCTTGAACTCTGCATCTAATGATGATCTGTAGTGGAGTTTCTCCCCACATAACACCCCTGTATTTGCTCTGAAAAGTTGGCTGGGACGAAGGGAGGAGTAGGCAGGAGAGAGAACTGGTTTTTACATCTTGGGAGGCTCTCAGAGTCAAATCTGACCACCAGAGCAGACACAGAGCTTGCATCCACATCGAAGTGCCTTACAGGCATCAGCAGCAGCCAAACAGGCTGCTGTGCAGAGCAGGATGTGCTGAAGGCATGGCCAGGACTGGGACAGCCATGCAAACTGCAGCCCAGCATCAGCAGAGGGAGCGGGGGGAAGCTCACACAGTTCTCCCTGGGCTGAGGGGAGGCTCATCCATTTGTCATGCCTCTGCATAATAAGTTCTCTAACTCAGGGGATTTTTAAGAACAAACATGACTGCTACAAGGAGCAAATCAGTGGTGGCAGTAGTTGTGAGAGGCTGAGAGTCAATTATTTTATGAATTGTATTTTCCACCAGAGCGGTCTGGAGGAGATTGCTGTATTCACAAAACCATGGGCATCTTTTATTCTCCTGACAATTGTAATGAGGCTTTTGGGTACATTCTGCCTATAATGTGACACTATCTCAAGCCATTACTTCTGTAACATGCAGCCTCCTTAATCCATATAAGATACAGCTCTCGTTATTCTTCCCATTGTTATGCTCTCTCCTGAAGACACTAATGAGATTATCAGGAAGCTGTAAAAGTCAACCACTTTGATCTCAGGCCTGACTCTCAACCACTTTGATCTCAGGCCTCACTCAAGGTTGTTGCTGTTTTCTTGGCCCACTTTTAACATACCTCAATTAGTAATCTGCTGTTGTTACAGGCTGGTTCAAAATATTTTGAAAACAAGTTAAGGTAAAATTACACGTCAAAGAAACAACGTTCATCTCTAAGAGACATAACTACAGTATCAGGCAACGTTTCCAACCCTCTGAGCTAACAACCTGAAAAGCTGCAAGGTGTCTTAGAACAAGGCTGGTAGGTGCATGGGAACTGTCAGCTCCTTGGAGGTGCAGAAAAGAGGGGATTAAGTAGCACCACAAACACCAGAGGGAGGGCAACAGTGCCAAAGCAAATACTCCCTCCTACTGCACTCCTCCTGCTGCTCCAACAGCTGAAACTAAAAGCATTTAGTGCCAGCCTGAAAGCAGTATGGACACAGACTAATGAGCTGGTGAATATCTCTGTGTGGATTTTGCATCTGCAGACCTTCTCCAGTGTTAACTGTAGGTTTATTTAAGGAATAAAGGGACAGGCATGTCTGTGAGCTAGTAATGACCTGAATGTCATAGTTCACCTGAAATATTTTCAGTGGTAGCCCTTCTAATTGGATATTTTAGATGGCAGTGGTTGTGAGCTAAGAGTCAAACTTTCCTGCCCTGCTCAGCTCTGGCAGACATCAAGCTGCACTGTCTGCTCGAACTCCCACCAGCAGAGCAGCACCAGAGCAGCCCTGTGGTGCCATGGCTCTGTGTCTTCCCCTTGCCCCAGCTGCTGGGCAGTGCAGTGGGGTGGCCAGGTGGGAAGGGGCAAGTGGGGCCAGCTGCTTCCCTGGGTTTCCAGGTGAGCAGCAGCTCCTCCAGGCAGAGGCATTCCTTGGAATGACCCTTTGTCCAAGCTGAGCTTGGGGAACCTGAGCAGCCAATCTTGGTAGTGTTGGAAGTATCTGATGAGACGTGCTTTATCGAAACACTTCTGTATTTTTCCAAATTTGAAATTTTTACTAAATATTTCTTTACTGGTAGCTTTAGTGGCTGAATAGAATTATTCTATCATTTTTAAACAAATACACAACTAAACATATCACCCACATTTGAATAAATTAATGGTAATGTCATTTCATTCTTCAAATTGCATTTTGTGCAGGATGCCTCCTAATGACAGTTTAAAAGAGCAAGTGATTTGCATTGCAATATTCTGCCTCCTTAATGAATGCACTTATTATGTAATCTAGTGTTAATGTTAGGTTTCTACTGACATTTACATGAACAGGTACAGTGAATAATTATTTACATACATTATATAAGAGCATTTAAAATCTTGGTTTACACAGTGACATTTGCTGATTAATAGATTAGACAAAATCATGTGTAAATGAGTGCAAATTGATAGTTTGCATACACAATGTAAACCTGACTCAACTCTGTAGCCCACAGTAACATTACCTTTGCTCCACTGCACAGCAGTTGGATGACTCTCACTCCTCCAAGGACTAGATTTAGTCCAGAGAAAGTTTCCAACTACCTGCATAGTCACCTCTGAAAACGAAACATGAACTGCAGAGCACCCCAGATTCTTGGCTGGTTTGCTTTCCCTGAACATCTCAAATGCTTCATACAGTGAGAAGAGTGTGATGCCTACCTGGCCCTCACACCTCAAACTCATCCCCAAAGCTCTAGCAATGCAGTACACAAGATGTTCCACAGAGAGAATTAATAGAAAGTCCTGAGATGATGTCCAAGGTAAATTCTCAGGGCTTACCAGAATAACCCAAATCTGTATTTTTGTAATCCAGCATTAGAGCATGACAAAATGTGTTAGGAGCCCAGACCTCTGACAAAATGAGTCTCACCCCAACACCCAGAGTCATGGAATGGCCTGGGTTAGAAAGGACCTTAAAGATCATCTAGTTCCAATCTCATATATGTGGTACACCTCCCTCTCATTCACACATCTGGCTGTGGGACTGCCTGCTCTGACCATTCCTAAGAAAATTAAAACCCTCTTCAGCACCAGTAGGCTCTGAAAGGTCCCCAAAATATCATGGCATCTTTTCAAAGAAAAGGATTGTGAAGCATCACTCAAGGAAATGTTCCTCTGGCTCCTGAGGACCTTAAGTACCTCTGGCCCATGTTTCTGACTGCAGACCTGCAGCAGTGTGAGAGCTGGGGACAAGGACCAGCAGAACACTCAAGATCTCTCCTTGGTGAGAGCTGCTGTGCTCTGCCAAACACAGAGGGAGAGTGCCTGAGGACAATTATCATGAGCATGTCCTTCTGGCCTCATCAGCATTGCACACTTTGGACAAAGTCTCCTTCCCCTGGCATGCTTGCTGTATAACTGTATTCCTATTGGAGTCTCACTGACTGACTGCTAATTTGTGTTTAAACAAGTTGTGCAGACCTGTCTGAAGCAATAAACACCTTAAGTAGGGTGCCCTTCATGCTCAAGTGAATGTATTTGGGGAATTTCTGTTGATAAAGGTGTTGATATCAGGGGGGTAGGGTATCCACCTCCCTACTCAGTTAATAATTTCTACTAAATTGGCTTAGTCAGTTAAGATACATACGTTCTGAAAGACAAGAAGAAATGTATTTTACCAAGCTAAAGACAAATTTTGTAGCTGCAGCAATTTATAACTTCAACTGTGGTACTCAGATTCCTTTTCTATTTCTCCAGATCCTTCTGACAGTGGAAATGCATTAAAGGTAATTTAACCAGGTGGGGAAGTGACACAGTTTTTCCACAGTGAAACTTTTCCAGGGAAAGCTTTTGTGAAGTAGCATTGGAAAAGATACCGACAGAAGCTTCCACTTAGTTCCTTTCATGTCACAAAATACATTTTAAAAATACAATGATTTGATACTGCCCTGGAGCACTTGCTTAATAAAAAGAAAACCAGGGCTTAATTGAAGATTATATAGAACAGATTAAAAAAAAGGGACAGAGCTGTGCACCTCAGATGACTACCCCAGTTTTTGCCTTTCTGCAGACCTTCCCTCCCTAAGAAAAGTATTTTTAAATATGGAGAGTCCACTTATCAAAAGAGAGGAAGTAATCCAGTTCATTGGTATTTGTCAGATTTTGAAAAGACATGGTTTAGCTGACTCCTGAAAGTATTATTAAAATCTTTACAGAACACTATACAAATAATTATCCTCAATATTCATACTTTCCATGTTAAGCTTTGGAAAGTCTCTGATAATATTATCCCTCTGTATTAGCTACTAACCATGTAAGCCAGTACAAATAGGGGACATTGTTATTGTATCTGTACTAGAGCCAAAGCATTGTAATGAAGATTTTAAGATCCAGTGGAAAGTATGTGGAATGTCATGACAGTTTTAGGAACCTTTTGTGTTATTTTCAGATGAATTCCTAATATTGCTGTGACCTATCTATTGCAGGCACAGATCAAAAATCACTTTAATCTTTTATCAAACAAATATCATAAATGCACATAAACTTTCCCATCATGTCCCCAGACTCTAAAATTTGGATCACCAAAAACCCAGGACAATTTAAAAAATACCAATGACTTACCTAACATCACACTAATTTGAGTGAATAGAAATGAAGGGAGAAGAAATGCAGCACAGAGGAAAACTACTACAGGAAGGGAATGTACAAAGACTAGTAGAAAAGAGATGACAAAAGCCACTTTAGAAAGCAGAAATCAGCAGCACAACAAAAAATAAGCCACATGAGCCACAAACATTTTGCGTGGAAGACATAAAGCAAAACGTTATAAATGTCTCAACAGATAACAAAGCTAGAATGAATATTTAAATAGACTGTTTTAACAAAATTCATTCAAAATCACACATGCTGTCTCTGTTTGCTTGTTAGTAAGAAAAATCCTCTCTAAGGAGCATGTTGATAGAGGTCTAGGTAGCTTTGCTCACCATTCTGTGCCAACACAGCAAGGTCACTTAGAAGCTGTATTTATTCAGCTTCTCCATTGTTACTAAACTCCTGTGCACACAGAAGGTTCAAATAAACCTAATAAACCCCTAAAATTATGTGGGAAGTTAAACTCCATTAAAATAATAATAATTTCATTAATAAAATGCCTCATGTATAGCACATTGTAAATTATACTGTATAAAACTCAAACAACTCATAACTCCCAGTGAAAATGGAAGAATCCCTAATGAAAATATAAGATGAAGAGCATATTTAGAAACAATCTCAATTGAAGCATATTTTAATTAACCAGATTTCCTACGAAGAAGTGCTTAGAATGAATGAACAAATGAGCTAGGTAGACTGAGAACAGACAAAGCTGCAGCCTCAGGAGATGAGAGGTTCTCCCTTCCTTAGTTGCCAGAATGAAGTGGCACAATGAACAGGAATACAACCCTGAGGAATATAGAGGAGAACTCTTATACATTTATTATTATTTAGCTAACTACAACTCAGATGACAGCAGTTCTTTCCCTTCTGTAGATTTCTTCCTTCTACTGGGATGCCAGAGGAAGGACAGCATTCCAGTAGCCAGGCATGAGTGAAAACAAGCCGTAACCATTGGTACCCATTCTTTCAATTGAAAATTCTGCTCTGCCCTCCAAAGTAAAGACTGGTATTAGTTATTTAGCCAACCACAAAGAAAAAGATGACCAGGAATGACAGAAAAGATTTTATGGAGGAATGAGATTTTACCTTGATCTAATATTCTCTTGAGATCCCACATCATGTGAAAAAAGACAACAGGTCTTTGTTTTAACATGAGGAAAAAGGGATTCCTAAGATTACCTGATGGCCATGTTGTGAGATGCAGTTCCCAAGGCTCTCCGACCCAGTATACACAAGGCAAAGGAAAGTGTCACCAGAGGAGAATCCTCATCGCTGTCCAGGTGCTACAAAGTTTGAAATTAGCATGTTACTCTAAGGGCAAACATCACATTTAAAAGCACCACAAACAGTGACAGTCGTAACATTTGCATGTAGCCAGACCTGCACACCAAAACATTCTTTGCAATTAAACAGACCAAGAAGGAAGACCACCCCCATCAGAGGATTTTTGCAAAATGCAAGCTTGTTTTGCCCACTGGCTGGAAACAGAACTTTCCATTCTCAGGTAGTGAGATCCCAAGAGCTTTGGTGGTGGTGATGTTTTATTGTGAGGTTTTTGTTTGTTTCCACTCCTCCCAGATGTGACATTCTAAACTGGAGGAGGTTCCTTGCTGTTGGGAGACACTGCAATTAGAGACAGCCAAAGCCCTTTTCATGGACCACAGTTCCTCAGTTCCTATGAAACATTACCACAGATTTCAGAAGTACAATATTTTTGGAGAAGTTCAGAAGCATACACTTTCAGTGAATAACAATATCTATCTAAATGGTTGATGACACTGACTGCCCATTTTAACAAGCACTCAGAATATTGCATTTATGTTGACTAGCTCAGGAGAAGTCTTTTAATGAAATTTTCACAAAGAAAACTTTGCTACCAAGCAGGAGGAAAAAACTGGAACAACCCTTCATGCATGTAAATCTTCAGGAGGATACATATTATTATTGCAGTCCATGTAATCAGTGATATCTTAGAGCTTTCTTTGACTCTAAAACTGAAGCCAATTATAAGAAGAAGAATGTAGCTCCTTCTATAAAATATATTGATTTTCTGGATTATGTGTACAGTGAACTTGGGTTTTTTTATACCACCTCCTACATGAAGTGTGCTTCTCTACAGTCAGTGAATTAAAAAACAAAGGTAAAACAGGTAACAAAAAGATAAACGTGTGTGTGTGTGTGTGTGTGTGTGTGGCACCAGTGCAGGCATTAATTTGCCTTTTGAAGTCTAACTTACTTGTTTCAAGTATATTGACATCTCTAAATCTATAACTGAATTTGAAAATCTAGGGCAGAGCACAACTGGAAAGGCATCAATTAACAGTGGATTTCCCCACACCGTGCAATTCTTTGTGTGTCAGATCTTGGGAGCTGAGACATGGAGACAAGAAAGAAAAGAAGTGAAGTATTCCTAGTAGGAGGAGATGGTGTTTTGGAAATGTCTCAGAAGACAATTCAATGAAAACATTATCAATATAATGATATACAGGGGAACTGATGGAATGGTGCTCAGCATCAGAGACATGAGAAGGAAACCAAAGTGGAGCAGAAATATTTGGTGATATTTCAAGAAAGATTCAGTGATGTCGCACCAGCTAAGGTCAGCAATGGGATGTGCATTCTGTGACCCTGAGTTGAAAAATGCACAAACACAGTACATTGTGGCCAGGAAAGAGACTCTTCTCCACTTTTGCCACTATCTGCAATAATCAGAAAATTAGATGGAGACAATATGCTTGTTTGAAACTGTACTCTCCCTCTGGGCTATTCTGAGTATTTCATGGAAATGCAGTAGTGTATTTCTGACAAACAACTGCTGACCATCAGTAATCTCAGTGGCTCAGAGCATGCAAATGCACAGCTGCACATCTGCCCTTGACCTTCTAGAGCTGCAGTGGTGGCACACATTTCTGTGGTGTGGTTCATGTTTGAGTCACGAGCTGTCAGAGGTGACCTGTGCCAGCAGGGAGTGTGCCATGCACTCCCCTGCCATCCTGCAACTGTACACAAATAAAAGCAAATTTCTGAAAGGGATACACAGACATTTGGCAAATGTACCAATCACTGGCAACACTGAAAGAACTGCAATGCTCTGATGACATTCTCTGAATGGAGCCTGCTCTAGCAGTACTTCTGTGAGCACTTGATACATCTGTGCTTTCTAGAGCTGACAAAATTAACATTATTGGAAATTCGCACAATAAAGAACTGGTTCTGTATTCAAAGACTGATGCTTCTTAAGACTCCTTAAGGTAGTTTCCAAAATACATTTTTTTCCATTCCACAAAACCTGTTTTCCTTTTACATTAAAGCTAAAAGCTTACATGAAATAAATTTTATTCTACTAATCCTGAGCAAGTAGAAGAGTAGTCATGCACCATTTCGTTCATATCCCAAGAACTAAAACTAATACTATAAAAAAAAAAAAAACTAAATTGACACATACCTCCACCCTTTTCCTGGCACAGAACTGAATCCAGTCCAGATAAACACTGCAGAAGCTAGCTCTTGTTATTCCCTGGAGACATGGAACATAATCTTCATCTATGTTAACGTTAAACATCGCAAGGTCACGCTCAATATAATGCCACTTTGCATAAGGCTGCAGTATCTTCTGGATGGATTCATCTTTTATCCACTCCTGGATTTTGGGAGAACTTGCTGTAAAGTATATTATACTCTGTTGGCAAAATGTGCAAATGTTAGTCACTCTGAACTCTGATTAAAGCAGACATATTGTACACAGAAGAGAATAAGCCAACTAAGACCATATTAAGAATTGTAATAGTATATCGATTTCTTACATTTTACTGCTTAGCATCAGTATTGCTTCACAAAGTGTTCAAGTTAAAAAGATGACAATAATTGATAATGATAGCTGACAACAGAAAAAAAAAAGTATTTTTAATATCCTTCTGCCTTCCAGGAGAATCCATACAATGACAGGAATAGAGAGTTCCAGCACTCAAGCATGTCAGTATAAGTGGGATTCTAGAGTCTAGCACTGAGAAGGTGATATCAATAATAGCTTAGGCATGTTTTGAAAAAACAGTAGTAAACAGTCACATCCTAAAAATAGGGCACATGTTTTCCCTCAGCAGACTTATTGTTCTCTGGGGATGATGCTTTCCTAATTCTTGATTAGCCACAAGGTGAGACATGACCAATGTGTATGACACAAGTCAATGCAGCAGGTAAACAGATTTTTTTTTTACATGTTGGGTTAAAAAGCTGATGACTGATGTAACTGACTTTGCTTTTAAAGCACTGAATGGGGAGGAGCATCCATCAGGGGCTCTTTAACTAAATACATAAATGCTAGAAAGCAGCAACACCCATATCTCATATCTGTCCCTGAGTTTCTAAGTTTTTCTAACCACTCTCTCTGGACACATTAAAATAACAATAAATAAAAAAGTAGTAAAAAAATTCTATACAAACACAACTTAGCGCATATTTTCAAAAGAATATGGAACTTAAGAAGTTCCAGTGTGTTCTTTCAGCAGGAAAGTCACATTATAATGTTATGGACAGGATGGACCCTTAACTTCTTGGCATGTGGAGAACAATACACTCCTTAAAAAAGATTCATGCAGAAACAATAGGAGCTGAAAACACAGCACTCAGCGAATACACAGACTTCTTGAATACTAAAAGATGTTTAAATAAGAATATATTGAGAAGAGATGGAAGAGGCACAAGGGAAAAATATCACAGTAGTTGGGCAGGAAATTATTTCAAAATATATGCAGAAGGGCTACAGAAGCTGACCCACTTTGTTTGTGGGGAATAAAAATCCTTCCATAATAAGAAATGTATGCATATCTAGGCTGTCAATGAAACTGCAAATGAAATAAATATGATTTAGGAATAAGATTCTCAGTGCAACTCATTGTTTAAAAGACCAATACAGTAATTATTCTTGAAGGATAGAAGAACTAAAACAAAGCGCACATTCTCTTTGTTGATTTTTGAGATAGAGTTTGCTTTTTTTATTATCCTCATCTGTGTTTACAAAGAAGCTGATTCAGCTGGGAAAAAAATCAGACTTGCAATCAGACACAGAAACAACAAAATCTTCTGTCACCTAATTAAATTCTGCTCTTGGTAACTCTTACAAGGTATGTTTTATGCAAAAGTACATCCTCAGCTATATGGCATTTCTGAAACAATATGGTAAATATTTACAACATTGTAAGCTACAGAGAATAAACCAGAAACACTCCAAATGCTCAATGCAATGGAAGTGCAGTTCCTGCAGAAACTCCAGCCTAAGTGATTTTTGAGTTTGTGTTTTATGTGACCTGAACACTGCCTTATCTTACAATTACTTTCACACTGTTAAAAAAAAGTGTGAAGGACTTTTGGAATGTTCCCAGTGAAACTGCACGGGGTCTTGATCTGCATTCCTCCAAAAGAAAGAGCTGGGGAAGGAATGAATTCTCACCTCTGTGTCTGATACTGTTTATTTGGAGGCAAGCATTAAATAAACAGGAAAAAAGCTGATCTAATACATATTATAATCTTCTCATTTTCCAAGACTGTACTAAAGATTTTACCAAATCTTTTTAAAGCCCCTGTTTATGGAAAAACCTAATTAGTTTAAAAATACAAGGAAAAAATATCCAGGTAACTTTCTTTTGGGAAGTGACATTCTAGAGAAGGGATTTCCTGAGTGCACCCTCCCTTCCCTAAAGGGAGCCCCAGCCCAGGCTAATACTGAAGGTGCCAACAGGTTATTATTATCTTCTGTCTGTCCTTCCCTAAAAGGAGAAGTAGATTAAAAAGATGGACAGCCTGAGAATGAAGACTGACCTTTCTGAGAATGAAGCTCTGTCAGTGCAATATAATAATACTGGCTCAACTAAACCCACCAAGAAGAGATTTGATTTTCATGCTTTCAGAGCCATCAGGAGTGCACATGAACTCTGCATAGAGCAGAGATGGAGCCACAGCACACCTCAAGTGATGTGGAGAGCATTTAACCCACTCCCTTCTATTCCAAACAGGATCAACTAACCACATCTCTATCCCATGGGATGGAAGTTTGTCTAACCACACCTCTATCCCAAACTTAGAAGTTTGTCTAAGCCATCTGACCTATGTTAGCTGCTTCTCAGGTGTGTCCAGAACCAGAAGCTCTAAACTACCTTTCAGTTAAGTTTTTACATCCCATGTGGTGAACTTCACACTTCCCACAAATCCTCCATATATTGGAGGATTGTAAGGCACAAAACCAGTTCCAGTATATAAAGCAAAATTATTCAATGTTTTGAACTAATAAGATGCTGATTTGATTGCAGCTTAGACTAGGATTTTTTCAATCTCATTCCCCATCAAAAGCTGAGTCATTTGCCAGCTTGCACCAGTTTATGTTCCAGTTATTCAGGTTAGCTTTTAAAGTAAAGCAAACCAATTGTAGTAACATACTCATTAAAGAAGAGTTGGTTTTTTGTTTTGGTTTTTTTTGCTTAGTTACATTGCTATAAAACAATTTATAGCCACAAACACCACTTCTAAAATGAAAAAATCATGCTCACATGCAGTTTTATTTCTAACTAGTTTATTAAACAAAGCAGGTTGGTTACCAGGCCGTACTGCCTACGAAATTATTTATGAAATACCAGAAGTAATCAACTGCGTGATCAAAGCAGCTTTGTAAGGCAATGAGCTTGTTTTTACTACATTGGTTCATTTGCAAAAAATGGTGATTAACTCATTTACAACAGGTGTCTCTCTCTGAAGCTGACAGAGTTTTACAATTGTGGGGATGTAAGTAAAAAGGAGTTGTCAAGGGTGGTTTGGAGCTTTAGCAATTGGCTTCATGGCAGTTCCAGTGGCACAGCAAGCAGCACTTGGCTGCTGCTGTTTCAGTAGAAGACTATAAAGCACAACAAATTATTCATTTTCTGGATTGGGAATTGTTTTGGCAGAGGATGAAGATGTCCTGGTAGAGTATAAGGTACAATTATTTTGACAAATTAGTATCTGTGTGGTTATTGTGATCTTAATAACAATGCAATAATAGAAGTGGTGTAAATGAACTGATGTGTCAGCAATGTAATAAACCAACGTCAAATGTGTTGTGATATATGTGTAAAACAGAAGGTAAGTAGGGAGTTTGTAGTACTAAAAAAGTACATTTGAGAAACAGCTCTTCAGAAGTTTCCCAAGAACTTTATGCTTGTTAACACCTTTCTTTTCTTTTCCAGGAAAAAAAAAAGGAAACAGTGTGAAAGGCCAAGGCAAGAAGAAATAACAAACTGTTACTGAAGTGTTGTAAAAACTTAAGAACCTAAGTAAGAACACTTTGTCTGATTTTATCCCTACAGGATGGTAACTCACCTTCTTGATCTCCACTGAAGCATGCTGCCATTTTCTGTACTAACTGTAAGTATAAGTGATCAGAATTGAATTTAGCAAAAGGACACATGAATTAATTATCCCTATTCCAGTGGAAGGTGTCCCTGCCATAGGAGGAGGGCTGGAACCAGATGATCCTAAGATCAAACCAAATGATTCTATGGTTCTATGATCTAACATCAAGCCCGCAGAGCAGATGGATAAACATAAAACAAAAAACTTCAAATGCTCTTTCTTCCATAGACAAACAGCATTCTGTTTGACAAGACTGCCCAGGAACAAAGTGCACTTGAGCAGAGAGTTTACCTTGATGTAGTATCTGATAAGGATCCTGCGCAGGTCGAACACCTGCAGCATGGTGGCGGCGTTGTTGTCGATGATGCTGTATCCCTCCAGGATGTACTGGCTCCGCGTGATCTCCCACGTCAGCCAGCGCAGGTTGAAGGCTGCATTGCACGACAGCAGGTGCGGCAAGTGCCCGGGCTTGCAACAGCAGCAGCCCTCGTTGTCTTCATCTCCTTCTGTTATAGCTTCCACCTCTCTCTGCTGGCAGTATGTCCCTTGGCACAGAGAAAGAGAGGGGGTGCTGCCAGTTATTGGGGGAGGATAAAACAAAGGAGGCCTTGCAAGCTCACACCCAAAGTATGTCGGAAGGTTGTACGCACTTACAAAGATCTGACAGAACGAGCTATGGCGACAAACTCGATGTGAGCCATGTGCAGCAGCAAATAAAGGGCTGTACATTACTCACTCACTATAATCACCTATAAGGCCAAAAGGGCCTGATCTAATGTTCTGGTTCTAATGGCTTCTGAGCTGAGCTAAACTACAGACCACAGTTTCTGCCTCCATAAAAACTCACCAAGAAGCAATTCTAGAGTCTTGCTCTATAAGGCACATTAAGCAAGTTGATCCAAGTCTCAGTCTGTAGCAGGCTCCAGGCCTGCTAGGGCCTCATGGAGGGAAGAGGCTTAAAGACAGGAAATGCCATGTCACGATGAAATAGCAAGAAGCCCCTCTCTTCCACCTTTGGATCCCAGCTTATCTCTCTGTAACCCCATAGGTCACTTTCCCTTAACCCCTGCTATTGGACAATTTTGCATCCCCCTACACCCTATATAATGGGCTGGTTTAGCCCATTCTGGTCAGAAGAGCTGTCACTGGAACCCTTCACAGACCCTCAATAAAGCCATTGCTGTGGAACTCCAGAGCAGCCTTCTCCTCTCTGTGTCTGCCAGCCGGCCTGCAGTGCCTTAGCAAGCAAAAGAGTTGAACCCAAAAGAGCTGATAATCACTAAAGAGCTGATATCCCTTAAGCTTGCTAAGGTAGCCAGCAGCTGGGAGCTGCTTGGGTTTTGGGCAGTCTGTCCCTGCAAGAAGACTGAGCTATCCGGCCCACGCAGCCTGCTCGGGGGCAAACCTGCTCTCAGCAGGAGCCCGGGGCATCAGTCTGGTTATTCAACTTACATACGGGACCCAAAGAAAGATTTTTGTGTTTCAGAGCACTTGTAAAATCTGGGTTTAGCAAGCTATCTTGGAAAGCATGTTCCAAAAATAACATCTACTGGGTTGTTCTCTCTCCCACTGGAATAAAAGCTACTCCGGATCAAACATCTCTAATGAACAGCACTAGTGGCAGTACATCACAAGAACAGAACAGCTTTCTAATTAGTCTATTACACAGGCTTTAGATCAAAGTAGAGCAAATTTTTACTAAAAAGGATATGTTACCTCAAAAAGAAGTCATGAGGCAAATGTAGAAGCAATAATGCAGACTCTGCATTTCAGCCTGTGCTGTGCTCACTAGATGGTCAAGCTGAGCCCTTGTGGATTTGAACTCTATCAATGCAGTTTCCATACTATGTAGGGCACTACTAATAAAAACCGAGGCAGATGCCCATGTGCTCACCCCAGTACTCTCAAAATAGATGTTTTATGTTATTGATGTATGCTTCTTTTTGAAATTTACCCTCCACAGGCTGCTGCAGAACTTAGTCCCCACTGAGTTTGAACATAAACCATCTTTCAAGGGCATCTCCTGTGATGCAAGTTACACATCTTGCACAGGCCTTCTGCCAGATGTTCAGTACCACCCCACAGATTGCTGACTCCATCAACAGGAGAGGAAGATGTGAGACTGCAGTGCAGTTCAACAGCTCCCTCCCCACCAGGACCAACAGACCAGGTGTGTCACTGTAAATAGGAGAATTTGGCTGTGTTCATACCTGAACATTCAGCCAGGACAGAACACAGTGCCAGCTTCAATTCCCTGCAGTCTGCCAGCACCCCAAAAGAGAGGCTGGAGCAGGGCAGCATCCCAAAGGCCTTTCTGTAGAGCATGATGACAACTGCCCCCAAGTGTCTGCTCCAGTCCCATCACAACCGTCTGGTCAGCAACCTGTGACCTTCAGTTTGTATCAACAGAAGTAGCATCTAGAATATTCCTTTCTCACTAACAAAAACCTTTCAAAACACAACAAAATATGCTGAAGTATGGGTTATCACTTCTTTTTTTGCCTGTGCATCTGCTAAAATGTGTGCAGCAAGCAAAACATACAAGTAAAAAAGAACAGAAAAATCCAAAGGAAAAAAAACAGAATCGTAGCCCTCAGAGATGGACGGAAAAGATTCAGGATATTCCAGTGTTTTCTGTTCAGTTTGCCATGAATGAAAATTTGCACTGTGAACCCAGTGTTGCTCACACACTGATATGCATTCCTCCTTAGACTTCAGGGATAAATAATATGAACAATTATTAAAAGTTTTCAGGTCATCCAAATATAAACATCTTGCCTTTCAATACTGCCAAGTACAAAACATGGCCTATTAGGCTGACATTTCCAGTTGGACTGGACATGAACTGGACTGCTTCTGCTTCATATTTCACAGATTTCTACATGAATTAACACTTACTGCTCAACAGCAAAAAAACAAGAACTGCTCTGGGTTAGCAGATGCTTCTGTGAAATCAAGTCAGAAGACATAGTACTCAAACTGAAGTAGGGAAAACATTCCTTTGTACATTGCTTGAAAAGAGTAAAACAAAGGCTCCACGCTGTTATGTTTCTTTTTGAAAGTTTAAAGGTCTTTCAGTATTACACTGATTTTAAGAGAAGATCCATCTTCATCCCAGGTGCAAAATTAAGTATTGCCAAATGTTTGCAAGTGATGGAGAATGAAAAACACAATAAACAATTGTCCCTGATCCCTCTACAACAATGGGATATAAAGATGCCTTTTCCCAGTCTATGTAACTATTTGTATATTTTTTTTTTCTTTTGGTATGGAAATATCAAATTTTATTTCTATGGAAGGCTTTACTCTCTCTATTACCTCTTTCAACAAATGCTGAATATTATTACTGCAGTTTCTGTAATTACTAGTTTTATTAGGAGACATTGTGTAAAATACAGGGCCAAGGAGGCTGGCAAGGCAAAGAAAAGGTGAATTCAAGAGACTCTCAATGTTTAAAGGAAACTGTCATCACATACATAGCAAATAGAAGATGATGCCAGAACATTATTTGCATTCTTAGCTAATTCTACAGGTTAAAACGCCTCCAAGTTGTCTTTGCTAGGTAATTTTAATCAGCCAGAGTTAAAATTATACTACAGGGGGTGCAATCAGTGTTGAACTTGAGGAGCAAGAGTCATTCAAAGAGGAACTGTGTCATTACAAAAGCTATGGGAAACAACCAAAGGAGCTCATGTGGTCGTTTTATGGATTTATTCCAAAGCATGAAATCAGGGGTGTGCTCTTCAACATCTGGCAAACAAGCCCTTGATTAACAAAACCTGTTTGATGGACTTGGGCATTACCTCTTTGGGGATTTGGTGTCCTTACTGCTTGTGGAGCATCTAGGGTGTCTGTTGAGAGCGAAGGGAGACGACCCATCCTTGTTGATCAGCATCGAACTCCAGATTTATTGATCCAAAAGGCACGTTTTTATAACCGTGTTAATTAAGATCACACATATTGCAAAACTCGAGCTCACGATAGGCTACAGAGCAAAGCTAACCCCTCCTTTTGTTTTCAATACCTGTGGTTTGTTATTGAATCCAAGATTTATTTTCTCACCCTGTTATGAAAGTTCTCAAGGCCTCCATGTTATTGAAGACAGGCTTGAGAACTTAGCTGTTTACAGAAACAGGCTGTGAGAATTTGCTCCTCACAGCTGCCTTTTAAGCCATTTCTGAGCAAAATTCTCCAACAGGTGTCCCTCTTCACTTTAAAGGTGTAACCTGAGCCATGGCCAGTGCTCTGACAAAACACCAAATCCTCATTCCTGCTGATTAGTATTTCCAAACAACATCTAGAAAAAGAACTCAAGCTCACAAAGACAACATTCAGGCTTGATGCTCAAACACATGTTGGTTCCCTCCTAATTCCTGCAGCCAGTTCTGGAACAGCTGCCAGTAATTTCCTCTCATCTTTAATGGAGCCTTGCTTTAGTCCTCAACGCACTGGCTGGACTTCAATGCCAGATTGGCATTTTACTGTAAAATTTCATTTACCAGTGCATACATCAATCCTTTTTGGTTCATTACTCCAGACACTGGTACCACAGAGACTGAGAGCATGTGCTCAGCTTTACAGCAGTTGAGCCAGAAGGGACAGGACACAATCAATGAAGTCAAGCATTTGTGTCTGTCTTTTACAGAAGCCTAGCCCTGGACTTTTTTGTATGTGCTATAAGCTGATGATTTAAATGACAATTTTTATATTGCTTCTCAAAAAATTAGCAAGTTCAAGCAACTCTGAGAGAATTATTCATAAAACCAAAGAGCAGGGAACAGAACATGCACTTCACTCCTGCAATATAATTAAGTGTAGTACCATTAAATATTAAAATACAGGAAAATGTTTTCAGTAGTAATTAGTAATTTCAAAATCTGAGGGAAAACATTTTTTACACTTCTTTCTGCAGTAGAAGGAAAATAATCTCATGCACTTCACTCAAGTTTAGTTTTTCACTCTGTCCCTTGCTAGTATAGATGTGACCAATTCATTTGTAAGATATCTAATATTGGAGGGTTGCCACAAGTCCATCAATGTAAAAAAATGTGCCAGCTGAACAAAGCAAGGTCAGCCTGTGTGAGCTCAGGAGAAAGCCAGGGTGAGAACTTGGAGCTCTTTGTATTTTCCTGACACATCAGGATTTGAGGACAGACTTGTGCTCTGCCAGAATGATTTGACCTAGATGGAAATGAGAAAACTGAAACTGAAGACTAATCTTGCTTCAAAAGGATAAAATACACCTAACTGAATGATCACCCAGCCTTCTAGAATTAAAGGCTGAAACCACAGTGTGCTTTTGAATTCAATTTTGAAAACTCAGGGAATGAAAAGCATTTTCCAAGATCTGAGAGGCCAGAAAGAAAAATCCATTACACAGCCACATATTAGAAGTATCCTAGGATCAGTTTTAATTTCCATAAAACACTTCAGTTTTACAACATATCCAGAACAGGGACTAATTATTGTGGCTGAAGGTAGCAACAGCTTGAGCACTGAAGATTGCTGACAAATAAGCAAGCAAAGTGCAGATCTACACAGAAAG